CTGGGAGGAGACTGAGCGTCCGGCCAAGAAACTCCGGAGCGGCCCGGACGAGGCGGAGGAGGAGGAGGAGCAGCGCTGGAAGCCGCCCAAGCGGAAGGTCGTGCTGCTAGTGGCCTACTCCGGGAAGGGCTACCACGGCATGCAGGTGAGGCGCCCACAGCCGGGAGGGCGCCGAGGGCCGCCCACAGCTGGGCCGGGCCGCCTGGTTCAGCGCTGGTTTTCTCGTGGGCGCTGTGGCATCGGGTGGGGACCCCAGTGGATGCCTCTTAGGGGCGGCCACCCAGGACACGGCTTCCCTGGCCGTGGTCTTCATCCACTCATCTAGCGGGCCTGGGGGTCCGGTCAAGCGAGTTGGAGAGTCAGACCCCAGCGACTTTGATGGGCCCCTCCGCTCTCCAGTTCCTGGGCCTACTGGGATGCTCCGTCATCACGACACAGCCCAAGGTCCGTTCTGCCAGTCCCCCTATGCTGCGGTTTCCCTGTCAGTAGGGTGTGAGGTGAGCTGAGAGCAGGGACGACACGGGGACCTCAGGGGTCCTTGTGATGGTTTGCCACGTGTTTAGGGGACAGAACTGATTACTAAATGTGTGAGATTGGGCCACTACCCACCCTCAGGACTGCCTAGCCCCCCATATGGATGTTTTCCGGGAGGCTGGGTGTGTAGGCACCCTGGGGAATGCAGGTAGATTTTATTTTGTTCCATCTTGTTGTCAGTTTTGTGGTTCTCACTTAGTTCCTTGTTATTTAAGCAATTTTTCATTTTCTTATTATAATCGTTCTTTAGAGGCAGAGTCTTGCTCTGTCTCCTAGGCTGGAGTGCCATGGTGTGATCATAGCTCACTGTAGCCTCTATCTCCTGGGCTCAAGTGATCCTCCTGCCTCAGCTTCCCAACATACTGGGACAAAAGCACCACCATGCCCAGCTCCTTAAGCTTCTTTAAGTCACAGTAAGAAACCCTGTGCTGTGTGTGGAGTTTCCAACTGAAACAAAAGTTTAGAATGTGTGGCTTCATTTTGCCAGGTGTTACAGTAACTTTTACAGTAGAAGTTATAAAAGCAATGAACTACTTTGTGTCTGATTTGATTTTATTTTATCTTTTAAGTGTAGGCTGAAATTAGCTGGGTGTGTTGGTCGTACACCCCTGTACCAGCTACTTAAAGGCTGAGGCGGAAGGATCACCTGAGCCCAGCAGGTCGAGGCTGCAGTGGCTGTGAGTGTGCCCCTGCATTCCAATCTGAGAGACAGAGTGAGACTCTGACTCAAGAAAAAAAAAAAGTGCTGGCTATACCTCAGAAGCAAATCTCTGTGGATTGTGGTAATAGGCTGGAGAATGTGGCTTTAGGCTAACTGAGTCAGGTGCGAGCAGGACCAGAAGCCACGTGCACTGCTTTTTGTGAGTGACTTCAGTGCTTTTTGGAGAGTGATTTTGATTATGTGTGGTTTTGGCCTGAGGTGCTGTTCTGGCCTGTATCTCAGCCTTTGTTTGCCTCAGTTTCCTGGGAAATGGAGGAGTGGAGAGTGAGTCGGGGCTGAGTGAAGGGTTGTTTTTCCTGTGTGTTCGTGTTTGTTTACATCCTTTGAGAAGCGGTTCTGATTTTATGCTGACTAAAGAGATTGGACTTAAATTATAGTGGGAAACTGGGAAGGCAGACTTTGGGAAGGACTTCCCACGCATGATGAATCTCGGCAGAGTGCTTGCAAGCCCTTGTGCCCCTGCCATGGACAGGCTCTCTGTGAGCCTGGCAGACCGGCTCTCTGCTTGGCCACGAGTAGGGTGTGGATCTCACTGATGCTGTGTGATCCCACAGCCCCGGAGAATCCTAGGGTTCACAAGAGGGACAGGGTGGTGAGGGCTTAGAGAAAGTGAGGGCCGCTAGCCCAGCCCTGACCTGCTGTGCCTCTGTCAGGGGACAGTGTTGTGTGTTACTGGAGGTGCTCCTGCCATGCTGAGGGAGGGGCTGGCCCCTGCAGCCCGAGCTGCGGCCCAAGTGGTCCTGAGACACACTGGCCTGTTGAGGGCTGGTCTTGATCTGACGGAGCAGGGGAGGCGCCTCAGGGAACGCCCACTGCTCGTGTCTCACCAGGTCGTAGACTTTCCAGAGACGGGTGGCCTCAGGTGACCCTCCTCCCACAGGTTCTCCTGTGGCCATAGGAAGGGCTCCCTGCTGCCATATGTGCACGTGGCACGCACCCTTTCCGTGGAGCAGCCACCCGGGCGAGCCCCACCCACTGTTTCCTCTCATCCCCCAGAGGAATGCCGGGTCCTCGCAGTTCAGGACCATCGAAGATGACTTGGTGTCTGCCCTCGTGCGGTCAGGCTGCATCCCTGAGAACCACGGTGAGGACATGAGGAAGATGTCCTTCCAGCGGTGTGCCCGCACTGACAAGGTGAGCGGCAGCCGCCTCTGCCCCACCCTGTGGGCACAAACAGTACCTGCATCTGGGTGTTCGTCGCTGGCAAGAGAGTGTTCTTTGTGGCCTTTGCCGTCCCTGTTGACTGTCCTCGGCTCGCTCGTCCCTGCGGGGGGTGGGGGGGGCACAGCGACCGGGACACCTCCCTTCCGTCCGGCAGTGGGCTCACCGCAGTGCAGGGTGAGCGTGTGGCCACAGAGGCAGCTGCACTTGGAACAGGACGCTTTCCAGTAGTCACGTCAAGAGGGAAAGGTCAGTAGCTAAAGCTGGCTTCAGTAAACGGCTTCTCTTGTCAGTCCCGTGTGTCCACTAGAGCCTCATTCAGCACGTAAGCAGTATATGCATTTCCTGGTGGGACACTTGGCATTCTGGGTGTGCTGAGGCCACGCTCACAGCACGTCTCCACCACCTGGCCTTGCTATATAGGTTTCGTAGCCACGTGGCTGGTGGCCCAGCACCGTCCATTCAGAGCCTCAAGGCTCAGTCACACTGGTTTCCACTGGTCTGCACTTCTACCCCAGGCTCCGCCACTGGCCTGTGTGACAGCCTTGCTGGGTGGTCGCGCCACGTACGTTCTTGTGCCTGGGACGGAGCATAGGGCTGGGTTTGGGCAGTGTGGCTTCCCTCAGGAGTAGAGGCGTCACCAAAGGGAACCTGGCACTGGGTAGGCAGGGACGGTGGGGCCTGAGGGAATACGCAGCTCTTCCAAAGCACACATAAAGCCTCAGCGAGCGTGGCACCTGCCTCCCTTGCTGCTCCAAGCCCTGGTGCTGTCGCACGTTCCCAGGCCGCCGAGGGCATTGGGGGTCTGTCATAGATGTGACTTTTTCCCTCTGGAAATCTGAAGGAAGCTGTGACTCTCATCCCACAAATGTCTAGTTCAAAGGTACACAGACCCCTGGGACAGGGGCCAGGCCAGAATGCAGAATTGGAGCTGGCACATAGACAGGGTGGGGCACAGACGGGGCCCACGAATTCCCTTCTGGCAGGCCATGAGATGGTGTGCTCATGACTCGAGACAGCCAGCCAGCCAGCCTGGGCAACAAGTGAGACCTGGTCTCTCAACAGAAGTGGGCCAAGCGTGGTGGTGCCCGCCTGTAGTCCCAGCTACTCAGGAGGCTGAGGTGGGAGGATCACCTGAGCCCAGGAGTTTGAGACTGCAGTGAGCTGTGATCATGCCATTGTGCTCCATCTGGGCCACAGAGCACAATCCTGTCTCTAAAATAAATGTGTGCATACATGCAAGATAAAGAATCAGTTCTGTCGTTCTTACTGTTTTTCTTTATTCTTGATTGGAAAATATTTTTTATTTAGGAATTAAGCTGGAGAGAGAGAAAGAGGAGATTCACTTTCCCTAGGGAAGGGAGGAGGCCAAAGCTGAAGAAAACATAGCCTGGCCATATCTCAGAGAGCACATGGCCACACCATAGCTTAGCAAGGCAATGGCAGCAATGGCCTGGCAACGACCCTTACTGTTTTTCAAGGCAGAAGAAAGTAGACGAGACTGCCTATTCTGTGCTTCGTTGCTTATACTTCAGGAAACCTACAGGCAGGAGAGTGCCACTCACGGCCCCAGCAGCCCACCCTGCTGGCGGACGATGGTGTGTGTTCGTTTTGTTTTTTTAATGGTTTTATTGAAAAATAATTCAGCCGGGCTCGGTGGCTCAGCCTGTAATCCCGCGCCTTTGGGAGGCTGAGGTGAGTGGATTGCCTGAGCCCATGGGTTCGAGACCTGCCTGGGCAGGCAAGACCTCATATCTACAACAAATCAAAAAAATTAGCCGGGTGTGGTAGTGCGCGCCTGTAGTTCCAGCTACTCGGAAGATTGAGTCGGAAGGATCGCCGGAGCCCAGCAAGTCATGGCTGTGGTGGCCGGGAGCCACTGCACTCCAGTCTGGGCGACAGTGAGACTCCAACTCAAA